TGCGCGACGCGCGCGCCCACACTCGCGCACCCCCCCCCCCCCCTTCCCCCTCCCCCTCCCCCTTCTCCCCTTCCCCCCTGCCACAGACACACTTGTCTGTCACCCTCACGTGCACACCCACTTGTTCTTGCAACCGCAGAGGACAGAAGGAGGATGAGTGCACCACTGCCCCTGCACAAGGAGGTGTATCAGGAGCTGCGCAAGCTGGAGAGGCTGCGGCGAGAGGCCGACACAGTGGTGGGCGAGATCAACAAGCTCCAGGCCGTGGCCGACAAGCAGGGTGGGGTTGGTACGTGGGGGAGAGGGAGGGGGGGGGGGGGGGGGACGGAAGGGGGGGAGGGGAAGGCGGCGTAGGTACTCATGGACATGGATGATGTGTTTGGGTGCGTGTTTGGGGGGGGGGGGGGGGGTCGGACGGAGCTAGCTGCTATGGAGCCTCGGGCGCTCAACAGGCTCCGCAACTTGTATGCAGAGCTGGCGCAGCTGCACGAGGCCGAGGTTATGTACGTGGTCGTTTGCGGGTAGAGGGAAGGTGCGCGTGTGCGGGCGGGAAGGCAGAGGAGAGGGGTCAACTCACAGCATGTTCTGGGTGTTGTGCCTGCGATGATGGAATCGCGGGTATGTTGGGTGCGGCGACAGTCTGACCGGAGCATCGGTGGAGAAGCTGCAAAGTGTGATCGACACCCACCACAAGGGCGTCAAGACGGCGGCCGAGTTTGACAAATACACGCCAAACAAGTTGAAGCGGGCCAAGATGGCCGACACCCGCATCACCGAGCCGCCGGTTTGGCCGGGCACCGGCACACCACCGGTCCTCTGCGGACGTGTCCGCTGGCCGGCCGACCTGGAAATCCCGCCCGGGTTTATGGTTGTTGTCAAGGTCACGCGCGGCCATGACACGGCGACGTGGATTTTGGGAACCGTCATGCGGTACATTGCGCTCAAGGACAGGTACGAGGTGGAGGATCTTGACGTCTCGGATGACTACGACTGCATCCGCAAAACGCTTATCCTCCCCTCCAACATGGTTATTCCGCTACCGTACGTGGTGCCGTCCAAGTTCAACGAAGACACCGAGTTTGCCATAGGCGACACCGTGTGCGCTCTCTACCCGCTCACAACATCGTTTTACCCGGCCCGTGTGCTCAACGTCCCGTCACAGACCGGAAATGGCAAGTACACCCTCAAGTTTGAGGACGACAACCGCAACCACCACATCAACTGGCGCTTTGTCCTCCACAACCCGGACATGTACTACACCGCCTAACTTGCCTCGGCAAGCTTGGCTGCCAGCCACGACGCCAGGCGGTCGGCTGAGAGTGCCTCGAGCTCGTACTTGCGGCCCAGCGCTTGCTGGCTCTCTATCCGCGCTCGCCACGCCGCGGGCATGAGCTTGGCAAGCAGCCGGCTCCGCAGCAGGCCGGCAAGTTTGCCGGTGTCGGCCCGCGTCAGCGGCTCGCCACCGCACCCGCGCTCATCTAGCACCGGGTCGTCGGCATGGAGGCCAAGCCAATGCCACACCGTCGCCGCCGGCGCCACCAAATGCGGGTTGCGGACCGGCACCGAGCCAGACCCGAACCGGTACCGCAGCGCAATGTCTGCGCCGTGCGGATCGGCGTCAGTGACGAGAAAGACCCGCGGGGCGGCGCCCATCGCCCGCGCAAGCAGCCGCACCATCAGCGCCACCCCTGTCGACGGGTAGCCCGAGCCAGTAAGCAGGATGAGAAACGGCGCCACGCCGCGGAACGTGCCTGAGCTCGCCGCCGCCACCAGCCCGCTCAGCACAGTATGCTTCTCCACAACCACAAGACATGCCCGGATCCCAGGCGTCTCAGGCACCAGCCGTAGCCCGCCCGCAGCCTCGAGCGCGGCAGCCTCGGTCGAAGACGGTAGCGGCGCGCCGCCCCCCCGTTGCCGGCAAGATCTGGCACCACCACCGTTCCCACCATACTCTCCACCCACCCGCCAACCGCCACCGCGACCCGCCGCGCCGACACGCTCTCAGTCATGCCCAGCTTCCACCGAGGCAGCCCGAGGGCGGTCTCCAGCACCGCCGCCGCCGCCGCCACCCCACCGGCGGATGCAAACAGGCCTGCCGGCGCCGAGTAGTACACATCGCGCAGCGTCACAGACTCGCTCCCGCGCAGCACGGCTGCACACGCCGCAGCCACAAACGCTGTCCGTGCTCCTGCTGCTCCTGTCCAGCTCGTCAGCATCCCCCCTGGCCGTCTCCCGGTCTGCCTCGCCCAGCCATCGTCCGTCGGCGCGATGTGCGTCCGGCAGCGTGATGCGCAAGCCGCTGCTGCCATCTTGCGTGGGAGTGTAAACGGAGCACTCTGCAGCGCACGGAGCACATCAAGTACCATCTCCTCAAGAAGGTGCAACGGATCGTCCATGGCCACGACGTGTAGTACAGTCGCGACACTGATGGAAGAGGTGTGCCTGGGCACGGGGAAGGAAAAGGTCGTAAACCAGGCGTCACTCGTGGCATCCAAGTTTGGTGATCAAACGGAGTGATCGCTCACTCGCTCGCCCCCGGCTGGCCCCTCGTCCTCTCCACACACGCGACTCTTGGGGGAGCAGCAGGCATATGGCAGGCGAGGGCGCACCGGGAATAGTAGGCGGGGAAGGGAACGTGTGTGTGCATTGTGGGGCAAGTGCAAGCTCGCTGTACCGCATCTTTCGGTCGAACGCGCACATCCGGCTGTCGCGGTGCGAGGCGTGCGACGCGGTGGTCGACCCGTACGTCGAGTACGACAACGTGCTGCATGTGCTGGACCTTGTCCTCCACCGGCCAGCGGTCTACCGGCACCTGCTGTTCAATGCGCCGGCACTGCCGTCGCTGCCGAACCTGCTGGTCTCGCCGGCGGCGCTGGCCCGGCTTGCTCTCTTCCTCCTCGCCTGCGACGTGTTTGTGGCCACCTCGCGCTGCGCCTCGCACCACGCCGTGCTGGGCGGCACAGCCGGCGCCGACGTGCCATCCCAGCGGTGTACGGTAGTGCGGACCATTCCAGTTGTTCTTGCCGAGAACCTTGCCTTTGTTGCCGGTGTATCGGCGGCGCTGCTGGCGGTGGTGTGGCGCGGACTGCGGCTGGGCGTGGGAGCGGTCCTCGACCTGGTTGTCCGCGCGCTACTTGTTTCATCGATGGCCAAGGCGCTGGTTGTATTGGTCATGATCTGGGACTATGATGCGTACTTTCTTGGTGTCTTTCCCAACTATCTCGGCGTCTCCCTCTTTCGCATCGTCCACATTGTTGTCCTCACCTCGAACATCGTCGGCCTGACCGTGGTCGCCGAGGCCGCGCTCGGCGGAGGGTCGCAGCTAGCACGGATGACCGTGCCAGGGGTGGTGCTGGCGGGCCTTGCAACCAAGGCCAGCCTCCAGCTTGCACTGCGGAGTGCCGGCGTGACTGACACGCTGTTTGTGGTGTGACGGGGCAGACATCAGAGCTTGATGCCCATGACGATCTCTTCGGTGTTGCGGAAGAGCTCGACAAAGCCAAGCTTGCGGTAGAAGCCGTAGGCGGCGTCGTTGGTGATGGCCATCTCGAGATGGACACCTGTCGAGCCCCGGGCGCGGAGGTCGGAGAGCAGGGTCTTGATGAGGCGGGTGCCCTGGCCCTGCGACTGGCCGCGGGCGATGATGTCGATGTGGAGGTGCGACGGGTACTCATCGACAAACGACGCAAACTCGTAGGCTGTCGGCGGGTTGAGAAAGTGGCGGTAGAGCTCGTGCGATCGCGGCTCGCCTTCGACGGGAGTGGCAAGGGCGCCGCCGGGCGCGTGGCTCTCGGCGATGCCAGCCGGGAGCGAGGCCACGATCTTGGGCACCCACTCGGCGAGGTAGCGGGCCCAGAAGGAGTTAGAGTCGAGAACGCCGAGTGTGTAGCCGCAGACTCCGGCCTCATCCTCGAGCACATACGCCGTCTCGTCAAACTCCAGGTACGGTCCAGTGTAGCGATGGCCCAGGATGAGTGGGTCGTCGAGGTAAAACTCGGTCCCGTCGTCGCCGTAGTTGCCGGTCTCGAGGCAGACAAGGTAGCAGGCGTCGACGTCGGCGGGACGAGCGGTGCGAATGACAAAGTCCATGCGCGGGCGGGGAAGGCGGCCACGGGCATCAGGCGGAGCGAGGCCAATCGAGGCGTCGGCAAAGTTGAGGGTGAGAAGACGAGACTTGATCTGCGCCGCAAGCGTTGCCTCGTACGTTGGCAAGGCGTGCGAGTCCGAGAAGAACACGCCGGATGCAGAGGTGTGGAACGGCCAGCCGGCGTTGGCCTCGACGAGCGAGGCCTTGACCGGGGCGCAGAGGTAAGCGGCGTAGGCGAGGAGCAGTCCACCGGCCTCCTTGAGCTCCCACATGTACGGGTGGAGGGCGTAGAGGAGGGCACGACCAGCGTCCGAGACAAGTGTGGCGTGAAGTGCCTCGTACACGTCCACAAGGCGCTGCCCACCGGCCTTGAGCTCGGCGATGGCTGCGGCATTGGTCGGGTCTGCCCGGAGAGCGGCTGGAATCGAGGTGACCAACGGGCGAGGATAGGGTCGAGTGAGGCGGCAGCATCGGCTGGGACGGCAAAGATGCGCAGGAGAAGGACAAGCGCGTCTACGGTGGCGTCCGACGGGGCAGGCACGTCCAGACGGGCAGCGAGCCAGTCGCGAGCGAGAGAGTCGAGGTGAGTTGAGTCTGATGGCGCAATGGCGGCGTCAGAACCCGGCTCGGCAGCGAGCCAGTTGCGGAGCGAGACGAGCGGGACGTAGTTGAACTCGTACTCGGTGTTGGGGTTGATGAGCAGGCCAGCGACGGCCTGGCGGAGGTCGAGCGGGCGACCGGCGATGGGGCCGAGGACAGCGCGGCGGTTGTCGTAGTCGTTGGCAAAAACGTTGTCCCAGAGGAGGACCTTGCGGCCAAAGATGGCGTTGACGGGTGCGAGGTCTGCCGCAGTGATCGAGGGCGAGACGATCTCGTTTCCGGTCCAAAACACATGGACGTCATCCGGAAGGCCCTCAGCGAGGGCCGCGAGGTAGCCGCAGGTGGCGACGCCGCCAAACGGGGCCGCCATGCGGGCGCAGTACACAGTGGGGCAGAAAGCGGCAAAGGTAAAGGCGAGGCCGGCAGCGGCGGCAGCGTCACGGGCGGCGGCGATGAGAGCGGCAGCAAAGGCGGCCTGAGCAGTGGCGACAGCTGGCGACGGATCGACGGGGATGTCGTCAAAGAGGACAGCGAGGCCGACGGCTGGCGGATGCGGAGCGGTGGCGATGGCGTCAAAGACAGCAGCGACCTTGTCGGCGGCGGCGGCAGCGGAAGCCGGGTCGGCAAAGAGGGCGTTGCCGGCGAGGCCCGGGGCGAGAGCGTAGACAAAGGAGGCACTTTGAGGAGCAGCAGCAGCAAGGGCGGTAAAGGCAGCAGCCTCGTCGGACGAGTAGGGGACGGACCACAGGGCGCGGTGTTTAGCGTCGTCCTTGGGCGCGTAGAGGTAGACCTCGGCAGGGCCGGAGAGGGAGGCCAGCAGCTCGCTGCGCTGAGCGGGTGTCCAGGGGCGGCCGTAGAAGCCCTCGATGACTCCGCCAATGAGTGCGGGTGAGACGGGGACTGCATGGGTATGGGTGGTGCGGGTGGTGTGGGTGTGGGTGTGGGTGTGGGTGGTGTGGGTAGTGTGGGGGGGGGGGGGAGGGAGGGCAAGTGTCATGTCGCTGTGGCTGTCACCAGCGGCTCACGAGTTCGCTCCCGTTGATGCGCCCGGGGAGGGAGAGGAGGGGGGAGGGAG